AAAAATAGGCTGGATAGGCTGGCACTTTTTCACTGGAGCATGGGAGATTGAGGGCTGACCTTATAGGGGGTTATAAAATCATGAGGGCCATATTAAGTTAATAGCTAGGGTCTTTTCCCTAGGGTGTGGGAGTTCAAAACTAGGCGACATATTTTTAAGGTGACAGAAGAAAGTTTTTAAATGAGGAAGGAGTGTCAACTTTTTACACAGAGAGTCGTTTGTGTGTGGAATGAACTGCCCGAAGAAGTGAGAGATGCAGGAACATTTACAACATTTAAAAGACATTTGGATAGGTTCACGAATAGGAAATGTTTGGATAGATATGGGTCAAACTCAGGCACATGGGACTAGTTTAGGAACATGTTCGGTGTGGACTAGTTGGATTGAAGGGTCTGTTTCCATGCTGTATGATTCTATGACACTATGTCCATGGGACATGGTTTATAAATAAAGAGGCTGAAATTTCAGATGGGGGTGAGAGAAATATGTTCTCTCGAGTGTCTTGAGTTTTTGGAACTTATTTCACCAGTGACTGTGGAGGCAGGTTTATTGAATACTTTAAGGCAGAGTAGATAGATTGTTAACAAATAAAAGTGTCATCACGTCAATCAGCACAAAGGAGGCCCTTTGGCCCATTGAGTCTATGCGGACCCATCTAGACCAATCCCAGTTTCCAGCATTTTGCTCATAGCCTTGAATGCTGTGACATTTCAAGTGCTCATCCAAGTATGTTTTAAAGGTTGTAAGGTTTCCTGTCTCAATTACCCTCCCATGGCGTGCATTTCAGGCCCTCATAATCTTCGAGATCCCCTCTAAGCCTCCTGCCTTTCACTTTAAATTCACATGCCTTATTGACCCTTCATTAGAGGACAGCTGCTTTCTGTTCATCCTGTCTAGGCCCCTCATAATCTGTAAATTCTATCAAGTCCCACCTCAACCTTCATTGCTCCAAAATAAAGCCTGAGTTTACCTAGTCTCTCTTCATAGTTAAAGTACTCCATCCCAGGTGATTGATCTCCTCTCTAGCCTCTCCAGTGCAATCACATCCTGGTGACCAGAACTGCATGCAGTACTGTAGCTGTGGCATAACCAGAACTTCTGTACCACTCCAACAACACCTCCCAACACCGAAGATCCCTCTGTTCCTTTGAGCTTCTTTGCGTCCTGCCATTCATTCCTTGTTTTGGTGGTTCTTCCAAAGTGCATCACCTGGCACTTTGCAGGGTTAAATTCCATCAGTTACTGATCTGACCAACCTGGCTATATCCACCTGTACCCTGGACCTTCTTCCTCACTATCAGCCACCGGGCCAATCTTTGTGTCATTCACAAAATGTACTATCATCTCGGCCACATTTCCTTCTATATTGTTTATGTATATCATGAACAATAAGGGACCCAGCACTGATCTCTGGGTACGCAACTGGACACAGCCTCAAGTCTAACAAACAGCCTTCTACCATCTCTCTCTATCTCCTACCTCTAAACTAATTTTGGATTCAACTTGCCAAGTTACCCTGGATCCCACATACTTTTACCGTCTTTATCAGTCTACTGTGTGGTATCTTGTAAAAGACTTTGCTGAAATGCATAAAAACTACATCAACTGTACTACCCTTATACACACCTGATAACTTCCTTGAAAAATTCTACTTTTCAATAGTCTAACAGGGAAAGAAGATCAGGGTCAGGTGGGAAAGTGGGGTTTAGGCCATACGATTATCTTACTGAATTATGGAGCAGGCTTGAGGGACCATGTGGCATACTCCTGCTCCTAATTTATATTCTCTGGGTCATCTGCCTCAGGCTACAGCAATAAGATGGCACATATTAAAGGCCGCTGTGCAATCCTCAGCTCTCCTCCTGAATTAGAGTTTGAACATGTGGAACTACTTATGTACTCAGAAAAGAAGAGGCAGACTTTTGTCTCCCAAAAGTTTTTCCTACGTGTGCTCAAAATATCTTGCTTCATCGATCGAGAACAGTTTGCATTTATATAAGTATTGTGTAAGCATCTTTAATGTAGCAAATTATCCCAAGACTCATAACAGGAGCATTATCAATAAATTATTTGACAAAATAAAAACCAGAAGAACTGCGGATGCTGTAAATCAGGAACAAAAACAAAGTTGCTGGAAAAGCTCAGCAGGTCTGGCAGCATCTGTGAAGGAGAAAACAGAGTTAACGTTTCGGGTCCGGTGACCCTTCCTCCGAAATTATTTAACACCACTGGATATATCAGGGTAGGTGACCCGTAATACTTTAAAGGTGACAAGGTTTAGGGCTGAAATTTCAAAACTTTGCAGCCAAGGCAAGTACAGCCAATGGTAGAGTAACTAAATTGGAAAAGATGCTAGAATCGGAGGAATCCAGAGATCTGAATGTCAGTTGTTCATCAGTTGGTACTACTGTCTTGACTTTGAGTTAGAACACTGTTGATTCAAATCCCACCCCAATGACTTGAGCACAAATGTATAAACCGACACTGGGGCTACTCCAGAGGTATGTCATAGCAAGTCTGAACAAGTTGACTGAAAGAAAATTGAAGATGACACTCCCTTGCACTACAGAGGTTATATTACACTGTTGGAGGTACCGTCTTGTTGGCTGAGACTCAAAACCGTCCACTCTCTCAGGTGGATATAAAGTATCCCATGGCAACATTTTGAAAAGAAGCGTGTTCTGCCCAATAGTTATTACTCATTTAATATCAATAAAACAGATTGTCTAGTCATCACATTCCAATTTTGGGGCCTTGGGTGGAAACTGGGTGCACGTTTCCAACATTGCAACAGTCACTGTTTCATTGCCTAAAGTGCTATGGGTTGTTTTGAGGTCATAAAAGACACAAATTAAATACAAGTCTTTCTCTATAGGGTGAAATCGTTACAGAAGTCAGCCTGGAGAGAAAGCAAACTTTTTAAAATTGAGGTGATGAACACCAAGATTTCTTGAGTTATTTAGATTAGCAAATAAATAAAGGATTCATGAGCTTTCTATTTACAGGTATATCTATCCTGGTTTCTAAAAAAAAAGTGCCTGTGAAGAGAGCTGTTAAAGTTTTGACTTTGAATAGTTGTTGAGTCTGTCAATGAAACAGAAATCATTACTGTATGTTTTGTAGTATGAATATTGTCTTGTGCAATGCAGCCTATATTATGAAATAATTCAAGTTTACCAGAATCCATGATTGGGAAATGTTATTTGATGAAAACAAGGTAACACTTCATGCTAATTGTTGGACTTTTGATTTTGAAGGTAGTGTTGACAGCCAAGTAATCTATTGGATTTGAACAAAACAGAAAACATTATTGATGTATTTGAGAAGTTTGAAAGTGATGGGGTTTTTCTTTTTAGAAAAAGGGCTCATAGTAAACACTGATGAATTAGCATGTATTGATTTGGGCCTCAAATTAAGGTGAGATTATGTGTAACAATATTCCGTTTGAATGTTTTACAACATTAAGCTATTGAAAAAAAGTGGTATTTACAGTAGATGGGTGCAAGTGCATTAGTCTGTGACAGTCAAGGGTGAAGACTTTGTGTCAAGTTTTTGAAGTAGAACTTTTATAAAATGTATGAACTACTATCAGAGCAATCCTGCATCTGAGTCAAAAGCTCGTTGATCTAAATTGCACTCCAAAGTTTTGAGTCTGTAACCTAGCCTTGTACTTCACCACAGGACTGAGGCAGTGATGCATATCAGATGTTACTGTTTTCTGATAAGGCATTAAATGAAAGTCCTTGCTGCTTCCTTAGTTGGTTGCAAAGTAGCTTGTGACACTAAAGAAGAGTAAACAGCTTTCAGCATTTCCCCCTCAACCAATGCCACATTTGCCTTCACAATATTGACTGCACTTTGAAAGAAATTCATTACCTATGAACAACGTTCCTTCAAATGATTTATTTTCTGCAATGCGAATCTCTGAGGTCAGTGTCCTGAAGCCAGTGTGTTGGTACATCAATCAGTGTGTGTGATATCTCCAAGTGGCAGCACAGCTTAATATGAAGGTTGCTTCTGAACGTCTTTGAAGCATCCCAAACACTTTTTCTGCATTGTTTATGGGATGTGTGTATCTCTGACAAAGCCAGCATTTGTTGCCCATTCCTTAATGCCCTCAAGGAGTAGTGGTGGTGAGTAATCTTTTTCAACCATTGCAGTTCTTGTCATATAAGTACTCATATAAGTTAGGGTGAGCATTCCAGTATTTAAACCAGGTAGCAGTGAAGGAATGGTGATTAGTTCCCAGTCAAAATGATGAGTGAAATGGAGTGAAAATTGCAGGTGTTAGTGTTCCCATGTGACTCCATTCCTTATCCTTCAAGGTGATGGAGGTCATTGGTTTGGAAGGTACTGTCGAAGGAAACCTGGCAAATTGCTGCATTGCATATCTGAGATGATACACATTGTATGCCGGTGAAGGAGAAAATGAATGTTTAAGATGCGGGTGAAGTGCCAATCAAGTGGGCCATGATGTCCTGGATGGTGTAGGTTTTTAGAGTACTTTTGGAGCTGAAGTGATGTAGTAATGAGAAGTATCTCTTTACACCCTGACTTTTGCCTTATAAATGGTGGATAGGGTCTGAGGAGTCAGGAGGTGAGTCACTGACCTGACTTTGTAGCTACAGTACGAATATGGTAGGCTCAATTTCAGAAAATCAAGGTGAGACATTTAGCAATAGTAATGACATTAAAAATTGAGGGAAGATGATTAGTTTCTCTTGTTTTGGATGTTTATTTGTCTGATATTTGTGTGCCCACAGTGTTACTTGTCACTTTGACATATAATTCTTCAGTACCTGAGGATTCAGGATTACTAGTGGACATTGTGTAATCATTAGTGAACATCTGCACTTCTGACCTTATGATGGAGAGATCATTGATTATTATAAGATTCCATGCAAATTCAAATTCTCAACTATTTCTGCTGATTTAATTAAGCTAATTTATTTGTAACTAGCATAGTAATTTGCACTATCTTATTCTTTTCTTTGTTGCAGGTTGCTGTCGTGAAGTTAAAAAACGTTGAAAAGGTTTTTGCCATGAAGATCCTCAACAAATGGGAGATGCTAAAGCGTGCAGAGGTACATCAATAAGTAGTGGTTATGTAACAAGATTATCAGTTTTGTGATCTAGTTTTAAACCTACTTGGTCAAACTTGCAATTTGCTGGCACACTTTCAGAAGAAATCTCCCATCAGTTATGTGATTAAAACACAAAAAAGCAAAGATGTACTTTTGGGCCATTTTGATACTGAAATGGTATTATGGGTTTTATTACATGAGTAAAACAAACAAACCTAACCTACAGTACTGTACAATGGCAATGGCAGAAAGATTGAGTGCTTTCTGTTCAACAAATGTAACTTTGTAAATAAAGTAAAACTTTATAACCACTTAATTCACAGCCAAGAAGTGATTATTCTCCCTTCCTTCCTGTGAAAGGATGTGAATTTTGTGTCTTTGTCAGTAAAGTGTAATTTAATTTGTGATAATTAGATTAGGGTTGAACACAGAAACAGTAGTAGGCTGTTCATCCCCTTGAGTTTGTTCCATCATTCACTTAGATCATGGCTGGTATGTATCTTCACTCTACTTACCTGCTTTAGATTTATAATGCTTAACACTCTTACTCTTAAAAATTTAAACCACCTGAAACAAGCCTGAATATATAAATGAGTCTTTTTCAGATTGATGGGGTATAATGGTAGGCCTTCTAATTTTTACAGTTTATATCAATGTCTCACTTGAGGGGATCCAAGGCATGGTGACTGAATTTGCAGGTGAAGGTTGCAGACTGACTGTACAACAGTAGGGTTAAGAGAGTAGAAAAAATAGCTGGTAGGTGCTATTGAAGTCAGAGGTTGTGCGTCGGGAGTTAGGGGTGTGGGGGAGGTGTTAGCTCTAAAGTGGCTAATTAAAAAATGAGCTGATCCTCAAGCTTGAGTTGTCCTTTATTAGAACATTGTAGCAGACCCAGGAGAGCAAGGTGGTTTATTGAATAGCAAGTAGCTCGAAGGTCAGGGTCATTCCAATGGTCAGAGCGGAAGTGTTCAGCAAAAGCGTTCACCCAGTCTACATTTGGTCTTGTCAAAGTAAAGGAAACTGAATTGTGAGTAGTGAATATTGTAGACTAGATTGAAAGAAGTACAAGTAAAATGCTGCTTCGCCTAGAATCTGTATTTGGTGCCTTACATAGTATAAGGGGAGATAATTGGGCAAGTATTTCACCTTCTGCAATTGCAAGTGAAAGTGCCATGGGGAAGTGAGGAAGTGTTAGGAGTGATGGAGGAGTGAACCAGGGTATCATGGAAGGAATGTTCCCTGTGAATTATAGGCAGTGGAGGGAGGGAAAGATGTAATTGGTAATAGCATCCTGCTGGAAGGTGTGGAAATTGCACAAGACGATCCTTTGAATGCAGGGACAAGTGGTATAAAGTGAAGACAAGGGAAGCTCTGTCATTCTGGGAAGGGGTGAGGGCAGAAGTGCAGAAGATGGGTTGGACACAGCTGAGGGTCTGGTTAACCACAGGTGGGGAGAATCCTCAGTTGAGCAAAAAATTTGTTAAATGTGTTCAGAAAAGCTTCCTCAAGCAGTACATAGAGGGTCCTACTCAGGAAGGGGCAAAACTCAACCTACTCTTGGGAAGTAGGGCAGGACAGGTAAATGATTTGACAGTTGGGGAGCACTTTGGGACCAGAATTAATAGTTCTATTAATTTTAAAATAGTTGTAGAGAAAGACAAAACTGGTCCACAGATTCAAGTTCTAAATTGAGGCAGGGCGAATTTTCATCGATAAGGTTTTCGCAAAGATTTGTAGCTCGGGTGGTGGGTGAGGTTGTTGACTTGTTTGCTGAGCTGGCTTGTTTTCGTTCAGACAGACAAGTCAGACAATGAAGGCCATCACTTTAACTGGGACAAGGTAACCATAGTAGCCCAAGCCAAGCATAGACACGCATGGGAATTCCGAGAGGCATGGTTCTCAACCCATAATGCAATCAACAAAGATATAGAATTAGACCCCATATATAAGCCCATACAGATCAAAACCGAAAATGACACTACTCACCATAACGGACCGGACAGTGCAAATTCCAAGCGGAGTAGAATAACATTACTTCATCGGAGGCCTCACTGACGATGTTACCTAGCATGGTGATGAAATGTCTGAACAAAAACAAGCCAGCTCGGCGAGCAAGAATGTTGATGGAATTACTCAGGAGCTTGCAGGGGTTGATTGGAGCAGTTTGTTTGCAGGCAAAGGAACCTCTGGCAAGTGGGCGCCCTTTAAAAGCGTGATAGCTAGAGTTCAAGGTCTTTGTGTTCCGATGAGGTTAAAGGGCAAAGTTGGCAGTAGTAGGGAACCCTGGATGACGAGCTATTGAGGCTTTGACCAGAAAAAAGAAGGCAGCATGGCTCAAGAACAGGCAGCTGGGATCAAGGAAATCCTTGAAATTATATAGAGGATACAGGAGTTTACTGAAGAAGGAAATCAGGAGGGCGAAAAGGGAACATAAGATAGCTTTGTCTGAGAAGACTAGAGTGAATCCAAAGAGATTCTTTAAGTAAATTAAAGGAAAAAAATAACTAGAGAGAGAATAGGACCCCCCAAGGACCAAAGTGGACACATATGTGTGGAATTGCAGGAGATGGCGAGGTCCTACAAGAATATTTCTCCTCTGCATTTACCATGGAGAAAGATATGAAGACTTGGGAACTTGGAGAAGTTAGTGGTGATAGCTTGGGTACAGTCCATATTACAGTAGAGGAGGTGTTGGAAGTATTAGAATGTAAGAATGTGGATAAATCACCTGGCCCTGATCAGATATATCTGAGAACCCTGCAAGAGGCAAGAGAAGAAATTGCGGGGACCCTGGCTGATATATTTGTATCAATCTTAGCCATGGGGAAGGTCCCAGAAGACTGAAGGATAGCGAATGTTGTGCCCTTATTCAAGAAGGGCTGCAAAGAAAAACCTGGGAATTATAGATCAGTAAGCCTAACATCTTTGATAGGTAAGTTACATTAGAAGATTCTGAATGATAACATGTGCATGGATTTAGAAAGACAGGGTTTGATTAGGAGTAGTCAGCATGGCTTTGTGCATGGGAGAGCATGCATCACAAATTTGTTAGAGTTCTATGATGAAGTGATCAGGAAAGTTTATGAGGACAGGGCGGTAGATGTTGTCTATATGGATTTCACTAAGGCCTTTGATAAGGTTCCACATGGTAGGCTGCTCAGGAGGGTTAGATCACATGGAATCCAGGGAGAACTGGGAAACTGGATGCACAGTTGGCTTGATGGTAGGAAGCAGAGAGTAATACTGGAAGGATGCTTATTGGACCGGAGACCTGTGACTAGTGGTGTGCCTCAGGGGTCTGTACTGGACCCTCTGCTGTTTTGTTATCTATGTCAATGATTTGGATGAGAACGTACCAGGCATGATTAATAAGTTTGCGGATGACGATAAAATAGGCGGTATCGTGGACAGTGAGGAAGGTTATCAGAAATTGCAGCAGGATCTTGATCAGCTGGGGAAGTGGGCCGAGAAATAGTAAATGGAATCTAATATGGAAAAGTGTGAGTTGTTGCATTTTGGAAAGTCAAATCTAGGTAGGAGTTTCATGGTGAATGGTAGGGCCTTAAGGAGTGTAGTGGAACAGAGCGAGCTTGGAGTTTAGGTGCATGGTTCTCTGAAAGTGGAGTCACAATTAGACACGGCAGTGAAGAAGGCTTTTGGCACACTGGCCTTCATCAGCCAGGACATTGAGTATAGAGGTTGGGAAGTTATTTTGCAGTTGTACAGGACATTGTTGAGGCCGCAGTTGGAGTGATCAGTTTTGGTCACCTTGCTATAAGAAGGATATTATTAAACTGGAAAGAATGCAGAAGAAATTTACAAGCATGTTGCCAGGACTAGGGGGACTGAGTTATAGAGAGACATTGGACAAGCAAAGACTTTTCTTTAGAGTGTAGGAGACTGAGGGGGTGATCTTACAGAAGCGTACAAGATCATGAGAGGCGTGGATAGGGTGAATGCACTCAGTTTTTTTTCCCAGGGTTGGAGAAATCGAGGACTAGGGGGCATCAGTTTAAGGTAAGAGGGTAAAGAGTAAATGGGAATTTGAGGGGCAACCATTTTACATAGAGGGTAGTATGCATATGGAATGAACTGCTAGCGGAAGTGGTTGAAGTGAGTACATTAACGACATTTAAAAGGCATTTGGACAAATACATGGATAGTAAGGATTTAGAAGGATATGGGCCAGGTTCGGGGAAATGCAGTTAGCGTTGATGGATGTTTTGGTTGGCATGGACCTGTTTGGGCCGAAGGACCTGTCTCTGTGCTGTAGGACTCTATGACTTCATTTCAGAGGCAGCCCCGTGAAAGGTGGTATCATCAGAACAAATGTGACGGAGATAGAGGAACTGGAAGCTGGTGGGCTATTAACGGATTCTATTGGACAGCCTGTCCTTAGAAATGGAAATGGTGAAATCCAAAAAGGGAAAGGAAAAGTTATGGATTGACAAGGTGAACATGAAAATAGGATAGAAATTGCAAGCAAAACTGATGACTCCTTAAACTCAGGACAAGAGCAGGAAGCAGCACCAAAGCCATTATTGATGTATCGGAGGAAGAGTTGTGGGTGGAAGCCTGAGTAGGACTGGAACAAGGAATGTTCTACATACAAGGTGACATTTACTTCTTTACATCACAAACTCATTGAATTTCAGGCATGACATGACGTTGAACTCTTTTTCCGTCATGTTCTCCTTCTGGCCCATTTATTTGGACAAGAGTCCTCTCCCTGCCATGTAGACCCTTCCACCTTCTTCTATACTACCCCTCTACTGGACCCCTCCAACTGGTTTTCTTCATTGAAAAATGCAGGCATGGCATTGGCCCCCTAAATTTCTCGCCTCTGCTCACCCATTCTAACCCGTTTCCCTCTGAACTTGCTGCACTCTATCAAGTTCAACCGTGACACTATTATCAAACCTGCATATACAGGTGGTGCAGTTGTTGTCTGGCATGCTGACCTCAACCTGACAGAGGCTGAGTGCCATCTCTTAGACACT